TGAAGGAACGCGACTAGGGCGAGGAGAACTTTGGTGAAAATCCATGGAGACGTTGTTAAGCCAAAAGGCAGGCAGACGAATTGTGAGTGCAGTTGTGCCACCGCAAAACGTAGAAACTGGTGATATCGTGGATGCACGGGTACATGATAGTAGGCGTCTTTTAAGTCTATCGACACCATCCAATCCTTGGGCTGCACAACCTTCAATATGGTTTGCAGGGATTCCATATTGAAATGTTCCTTTAGAACATGATGGTTGAGGTGTCGGAGGTCTATAACTGGCCTCCAATCTCCGGTCTTTTTCTGGACCAGAAATAAAGGGGAATAAACACCCCAAAAGCGCTCTTGTGCCGGCACCTCCACCCCCTGCGTCAACATGGATTCAACGTAAACCCTCAGTACGTCTTTTTCTTCTCTTGAGGACGGAAGATGTGTGGGAACAAATCTGGTGTGAGGGGTCTTCTGGAATCGTCACGCGTGACCTTCCGAAATGGTAGTGACTACCCACCGGTCCTTGATGTGGTCCGCCCAGATCTGTCGGAACCCAGATAGCCTGGCTCCTACAAGGCAAACCTGAGCGGGCAAAATTTCAAAAAGACTTCTGTGCCCCCTGCACAGGTTTGGGTGCAGTCTTCTTAGTGTTGGCACCTTCAGCTCCGTCTCTCCAAGGCCTGCGGTACTCTTTACCAGGCTTGTAAGATCGTGTGTCCTTAAAGACAGACTGCTGACCACCCTTAAAGCGTGGGTTTCGCTGGCGTAGCAGTCGCCTGTCCTGTGGAATAAAGTTGGGCTTCCCACCGGTAGCTTTGGATATAGCCGTCTCGTTTGTTCCCAAAGAGGGATTGACCCTCGAAAGGGATCTTGCACCATCCCTGCTTTGAAGTGGGATAGGCCACCCATGGCCTGAGCCATAGGGCTCTCCTACCCGTTACCGAGTAGAGCATGATTCTCGCCATCGACCGCACGAGATCAATAGTTGCTTCCGCGACAAAGGCTGAGGCAACTTTTACCTGCCTTAGATTTTCTAGTATCTCAGGTTTACCGAGATCATCAGACACAGCTAATTCTGCATTAGCGGCCCAAACCTCCAGAGCCTTAGAGGTAGCGGCCAGGGCCACAGCTGGTTTACAGCCTCCCCCTGCCGCTAGGTAGATCTTCTTCAGATCGGGATCAATGCGTCTTTCCAAAACGTCTCGGAACGAGAACGCATCATCCAACGGCAGGGTCACATGCCTTGCTAGCCTCATTAAGGCCGCATCCACCACCGGAGATTCATCCAGGTATTTCACCTCTTCCTTCGAAAACGGGTACAACTTGGAAAAACGATTACGGAGACTGGAAGCATGATCCACCTGTTCCTACTCATGGAAAATAATATCCTTAATGTCCTCAAAGAAAGGGAAACTACCTGCCTCTTTCCGGATATTCTTGAAAAACCTCCTTTTTCTGTCGGGCTCCGCCGCCTCATCCTCCCAAAAAAGAGCTTGCTTCATCGCTTTAATAAATGGCTGGAACATAGAAAAAATCAAACCCCTCAGACTGATCCTCCTCACTCTCAGAGAGAGACCATTTAAAGGCTCAGCAACCCTTTGCAGGTGTTATGGCTTAATTAGCTGATTAGAGTGGGACACTTTGAGCCTAGAATATTGCACCTTTTCACAATATTCTAATTTTCTGAGATTGTGGATTTGGGGTTTTCATGAGCTGTAAGTCATAATCATCACAATTATGACAAATCACGGCTTGAACTATCTTCCTTTGCATGTAATGAGTCTATCTCGTATATTAGTTTCACCTTTTAAGTTGCATTAGTGAAATAAATGAACTTTTGCACGATATTTTAATTATTCAAGTTTCACCTGTACAGTGCCCGACCTAGATGGGGAAAAAAAAAAAAAAAAAAAACTCATGGCTGCCAGAGGCAACTGGCACAGAAAGATAAAACATATCGCAGGAAGTTGCTTACCTTCTTTGCATGTGCTGGTCTTTAGGAGGGGTTGGCAGATAAGAAGGCATACTATACAGAAACATTAAGACAATCAGTAATACAGTAACCATCCCCACAACATATACGTAGGTTACACTGTACCTTTAAACAGGGCAGCCAGTCAGCAGGCAGCGCAGAGCAGCAGCAGGAGTCTTCTCAGCAGAAAAACCGAGCGGCCACCGCCGCTGATACACAGGATCCTACATAGGACGCCATGTACAGCTCCTCCTCCCCGGCCGGCGTCACCACGCACATGCGCGTGACGTCAGCGCCCTTCGGGGAACCCCATGGAATGCAGCGCCTGCGTTCCAAGCAGAGCGGTCCCAGCCGTGGGAGGAGCCACAACCCCGGAAGCTGCCCGTGGAGCGCACACCTGCAATCCAACAACCCCGCCGGTACCAGGGGACATGCCAACCGCCTCTCATACTCCAGCTTTACTGGATTAAAAATGACAGCCTCGGATTCTAGCAGCGAGGCTCCCCCATCATGATCATTTAGATCAAACAAGGGGACTACACTTATACCTTGGGCGGACGGCCAGAGGACATTTACCTCAGCCAGGTAAGCCACAACCCACCTCCATCAGCAGTAGGAGGAGGAAAAAAGAGGAACACTGGTGGTTGCGGGTTGCTCAAATTTATGAGTTAGGGTCCTATCAGATTGGTGGGGAGGCGGGGCCATCCCATTTGTGTGCTGCCATGGAGCTGTCAGAGAAATAAGCCTCCATCTAGAGTATTTAAAATCCAAAATTTGTTTACGTTCATACTGAGCCGTGGTATTCATTATGGGAAAAGAGCGAGGTGAAGTTGATAACAAGTGGTCTCAGAAGGTAGATGTGGAAAGCGTAGGTGATCTTCAGATGAGAAGGCAGGCAGAGTTTGAGAGTAACTAGAATAATTTGGGGATGATGGAAAAGGGGCAGATGAAGAAAGGAGCAGCTCTTTCATACCTCAAAGCTGCCAGATGCAGACAGGGGAAGGAATCATATACCTGCTATGTATATTCAGCCAAAGGCTTTACTAAAAACCAGACAAAACGGGGCCCTGGTACAAAATCTAAACTGGGTCAAGTCCTAAACGTTGCACCCATTCAACCTGGAGGTGCACATTTTATTAAATTAAGTGCAGGTTTGCTGTAGCATCACTTTGATAAGCTTATGCAACGTCACAACATTTATTTTAGTCCAGAGTTGCATTCATTTTTCGCCAAGATCTTGTAGTGGTGATGGGAGAGTCGGACCACTGCGTAAAGTCTTCTCCAGCACATCCTGAAGATTCTCAATGGGGTTAAGGTCTGGATTCTGTGGTGGCCAATCCATGTGTGAAAATGATGCCTTATGCTCCCTGAACCACTCACAATTTCACAATTTGAGCCAAATGAATCCTGGCATTGTCATCTTGGAATATGCCCCTGCCACCAGGGAAGAAACAATCCATTGATGGAAAAACCTGGTCATTCAGTATATTCCACTAGGCAGCTAACCTAATTTTTTGGGAACATAATGTTGCTGAACCTAGACTAATTATTCAATAGATGGCTCTAATTGCTTAGCTAAATCCAGGTTGTGACTTTTTGTTGGTGAGGCAGTGTATAAGCTTGCTAAAAGCTCAAACAACAAAAACATGTGAGTTGAATGAGAAAATATGCTGCTGTAAAGCCACCGTTTTATAGCTTTGAACAGATTGGAGAAAATGTAAATTTCTGTCAGTTTTTTATTTCTATCCATGACCCTGCTGAGGAAATGATTCCCTCATTTCTAGTCCCTCCACAATGGTACAACTGTAATTGGTTACAGTTTTCACTGGAACAGAAAAGCACAGACAGCATAAAAGATTGCCAAAAGTTTTACCCTTCCTTATTGTATTTTTGTATGTCATTTTTGGAGGGATTTTCCATCACTTCCTGTCCTAGTAGGATGTGAGGAAAAATCTTTCCAAGAGGTACACAGACAGGCATAACATTTTTCCCTACTTTATACAAAACACAATGAAACGTTTTGCCTGGAGATAACCTTTAATCAGAACAGATGTTAAAAACACAAATGGTAAAATGCCATTATTTCGATTCCAACAGAAACATAATTTGTTGCATTCGAACAGGCCACAGCACGGCAAAGATTTCTATAGCAAAGGCCTGGTAGTCATCCATTTCCCTTGGCCCTTAAAGAGTAACTCCACTTTTGTTGAGAAAAAATTAATCACTTCTTGGTGATCAATGTACATTGCAAGGATTTCAACCAACTTTGTTGCAGATCCTACCTGTTTCTTTTCTGAAGAAATAGTGTTTGTTTTACCATGTCCTTTCCAAACTGATCTCTGCATGGGAAGGTCTGGGTTCGTTGTAATCAGCTGGTGGGCTTCCTGTGTTGTAATAAGGAAAGGTACAGTGTCTGCATCCCTTTAGTAGTAAGGTAGGGAGTACCTTACCAAAAATGAAATTTCTATTGCAAGGGATGCCTATAATTTTACTTGTATCTTTTTGTATCATATAAACATTAGTGGTGTAAACTTCCTGAACATCCCAACCTATCCCCCTTCTTTCTCTCTCTTTTATTTGTTTTTCTTCTTTGTCTCCACTCAAAATCATGGTCATAGGAATGTTAACTTAGTAGTGGCCGAATTGGATGGGTAAACTTTTAAACTCTATTCTAGATGGCCTTTATTCATATTGGTGTTTATTAAGAGGATGTTAATAAAACAGTATGGAACAGCATGTATCTGAAGGTCTATCACACTGTTGCTCTCACACACCAATGACATTGTGTCATGTCTGTTTTATTTACCTCCTCTGTATGTTGAAATAATAGAAACCTTTGAAAGTAAAAAAAAAAAACAACTAATGGTAAATAAAAGGAAGCAGCAGTCATGATTTGGTACCCGACTTAATGAGCCTAGGAGCTGTCCTATTTTGTCACCTGTCAATATACCCCAGTATCTAGCCACAGACAATTCACACAACATACAAAGAATGGAACACACATGCAACACCAGGGGTGTGATGAGAAATATACTGACCTTAAAGCTCCAGTAGTTGGGCTGCTGATAAAAAAAAACAGCAGAAGAGGAAAATAACATTACATTTTCTTTGAATTACACATCTGCAATAATCACTTCTGCTGATAGTATGAGTGCACAGGTTCCCCTTCACTCTACTCTATACAACTATAGAATTAAAGTGTAAATGAGTTATCTGAGTACTCCACATATTTAACTGCCCCACAGCAGGCTGAAGCTCAGTTTTGCAAACCAAAGCTAATATTACAGAGTAACCAAGTATCAAACTCTGGGGGTACTCTGGAAGCTATGAGTACTGTATGTGCCAGAATCTTTAGATTCTTGCTTTTTATGTTTTCTGGAAGCTTAGCATGTATAAGCTGAACAAATGTTCACTTTAACTAGACCATACAGAAAAATGGATCTATTCACAAAGCATATTGGGGGACATTGGGAGTGGAACCAGCAATTAAGAGAATGAAGACATTTAAATTAGTTTTATTTCCAAGGCAGCACCCCCTAACCAGTTTCTTAGTAACTGAGACTGAATAATGGTGCAGCTCACAAAATGGCTACCAAGTAAAATATAGCTATTAAAGTGCCACAAAAGTAAATTATATAAACACAGTTACATAGAATTTGAGGTTGAATAAAGACACAGGTCCATCGAGTTCAACCTTTGTTAGCGTGTGTGTGTGTGTGTGTGTGTGTGTGTGTGTGTGTGACTGTGTGCTACTTTTTTTTAAAAGAATGGGCTATGTAAATTGAGATCTATGACATTCATACACAAGTGGAATGGGAATCCTTCTATCACCACAATGCACTTTTCAAATTCTGCTTTCACCTCCCTCTTTTTCCCTCTCCTCTTTTGAAACCCACTGCATTCGCCTATTCTCTCCAATTTCTCTGAGGATTGCTGTAATATACCTGCCTCCTGGACCAGTGTCTCACTTTCTTGATGACTTCTTTGCCTGGCTACCCTACTTCCTCTCCTCTGAAATACCCACTATCATTCTGGGAGACTTTAACATTGCTACTAACATTAACACCCCGGCTTCCACTCAATTTCTTAACCTAGCCTCTTCTTTTGACCTAACAAAATATGCACAAACACTCCTTCACATTCTGATGACAACATTCTAGATCTTGTCTTCTCTCACCTATGCACTCCTTGCAACCTCTCCAACACCCATTTTCCCCTCTCAGACCACAACCCTGTGAAGTTTCACACTCACCCTATCCCCAAACCTGAATTCCCGTACACAGCACACTGTTACCTTCGCCATTTCAACCCTTATCTTCTCTGCTCTGCCACTGACTACCTCTATGACAAAATCTCATCCCTGTCCTGCCCCGACCTTGCTCACTCTCATCCTCCCTAGACACCTTGGCTCCCCTCACCACATGCAAACTTAGGCCTCATGCACTCCAACTGTGTCAAACAGAAGAAACCAGAAAACTTAAAAGACATAGCCTAACTCTGGAGCGAGTATGGCATAAATCTAGGTGTCTACAAGACTTCACACTATATAAAGCTGCACTCCTAAAATATAATTGCTCCCTCCGTGGTACCAAACAGACTTATTTTGTCACACTCATTAACAAAGGTTTTATTTGTTTTTTGTCAGTTTTTTCACATGAAGTTTACAAAAATAACAAAGGTAGGGCACGCAAGCCCTGCAACAAGGAACACGAACAAAAAGTGTACAGCCACATCATTGTGCAGAGCCCTGCAGACTTATATAACAGAAGCAGTAGAACAGGTATTAAAGAACATTGTGGGAGCATAAAAGGGGGATTGCTGTTCAGTATTAGTGCGTAAGACCCATAATAACATGGAAAAGGATCATCATAGGGGGGACTTTTCGGGTCAGGTGTCTGAATATTGCGGAGGTGAGATCAATGAGGTTTACAACCCCCTACACCAGAACACTTGGTTCAGATAGGAGGGAGCACGTCAGACAGCACAGATCTGTGTACGGATAGGAACAGGGAGGGTAAAGGAAGAGGTGATGGAGATGGAGGGGAGGGCCGGGTGTGGGAAAGAACAAAAGGGGATTAGGGCAGGGGAAGGTGTTACGTTGGGAAAGGGGTCCAGAGGAAGGTGTGAAGTACAGAGCCTCTAAATGGATAAGAACTGTGGATCAAAAGATGGTGGTTTAGAGTAATCGATCCAAGGTTGCCAAATCAGTAGGAAGCGTTCATGGGTGTCGGACAGAACTGCCATCAGTTTCTCGTTAACCAATATACCGTCTAGGCGACTTTTGACTTCCCTAAAGCTCAAGGTCGGGGTTTTCCACGCTCTGGCGATTGTCATTTTGGTGGCGACAAAGACGTGGTACACAAGGTGCTTCCGGAAGCGCATCAGTTGTGTAATTGGCTGCAGCAACAATGCCTTGCAAGGTTCCCTTGGTAGGGTGAGTTGGAAAAGAGAGTTGAGTAGGTCGTAGACCCTATTCCAGAGACTTGTCGCCCGGGGGCATGTCCACCAAATGTGGATCATGGTACCCGACTCGCCACAGCCCGGAAGCATTGTGGAGAGTAGGAGGGAATGTATTTCGCCAGACGGGCAGGCGTATAGTACCAACGATACATCACTTTGTAGGAGTTCTCAAGTGCGAGTACGTTGCGGGAGCACTGGGCTATCGCCGACCAGGTATGCTGCCAGTCTTCAAAAGTTAGGTATCTGCCCAGTTCCTCATGCCACTGACGTTGATAGGGAGCAAGGGTGGTAGAAGTGGAGGTTAGCAGAGAAGAGTAGATCAAAGAGATGACCCCTGGGGCGTGTGGATCTGAGTTGCAGCAGTGTTCGAACAGGGTCATTCTCGACGGAGCGGAGGTGTTCTTCAGGAGTGAATTGACGAAGTGACTAATTTGGGTGTAGCGGAACCATTCCCGAAGGGGAATAAATCTATTGGTACGGAGCTGCTGGAATGATTTCACACCTGAGAGCGAGATGAGGGAGTGCACAGTGGTCAGATCATTGCGGGCCCACCATGTGAATGAGTGAGGGACGCTGGCGCCAGGGGGAATAATGGAGAGTTGAGCCAGGGTAGTAAAGGGGGATGAGGCGACATCAGATTGCTGGAGTACCGAACTCCGTCCCACTCCTTCAAGGAGTGTCTAAGGATTGGGCTTAGATTAGTAGGGCGGTCAGTCTGGGATAGCCATAGTAGGGATGTGAGGGGCAGGGGATGACAGTCCACCATGTCTAAACATGCCCAAATCGGGAGCTCGGTTGTTGCATGTAAGAGGGCTAAGGGAGCAATGGTGGCGGCCGTATAGTACGCTTGAAAATTTGGGACTGCAAGACCTCCAGAGAGTTTAGAGCGATAGAGCAATTTTTGGCTGATGCGGGGTCGAGAGTTGCCCCAAATGAATGCAAGTACCCTGCCTTGGAGAATGCGAAAGATATGGCCGGGAATGGAGTTTGGCAGGGCCCGGAGCACGTAAAGCAACTTAGGCAGGAAGTCATCTTCACTGCATGGATCCTCCCCATCCAGGAAATGGGAAACCTCTGCCAGGAGATGTCGTATGTCGGGGTCAGGCGGATGCCCAGGTATTTAAGAGAGGGGGCCCAGGTGAACGGGAAAGAGAGCTTGAGTGCGGTTAACGTTGCAGGCGTCAAGAAGATATCAAGAGCTTGGGATTTGGATTGGTTGACCTGTAAGTCCGAGATGAGTGCGAAGTCCGAGAGTGCTTTAAGGAGGTTCGGGAGGGAGAGGAGGGGGTCAGTCAAGGACAGGAGGACATCGTCAGCGAAAAGGGATATTTTGTGGTGAGTGCCCGCTACCTCAAGGCCTTGAATATCGGGGTTGGATCTAATGTATTCCGCCAAGGGTTCGAGGGCAAGGGCAAAAAGAACGGGTGACAGGGGACAACCTTGCTGAGTGCCGCGCGCTATCGGGAACAAAGAAGATTCAAAGCTACAGTATTTAAGCTTGGCCTGGGGCGAGGCATACAGGGCCGCTATCCAGGATATAAAGTGGGAGCCAAAGCCCCAGTGGCGGAGAACTTCAAGGAGATGTGGCCAAGAGAGCATGTCGAAGGCCTTGGAGATGTCCAAGGACAGCAACATCATTTCTCTGGAGCGTGATTTGGCTAAATGCATCAGGTGTAGGGCCCTTCGGACCCCGTCCCCGGCCTGTCTGGATGGCATAAAACCAACCTGATCTTTCTTGATTAGGGACCCTAAAAATTGGTTAAGGCGGGAAGTGAGAATTTTAGAAAGGATCTTAACGTCTACATTTATTAAGGAAATAGGGCGGTAATTGGTCCAGGAGTGGGGATCTCTATCTGGCTTAGGTATCATTACAACGTTTGCTGTGAGCATGTGTGGGGACATGGAGTCGCCCTTCAGGAGACCATTAAAGAGGGATGCCAAGTGGGGGGATAAATCATCTGATAATTTTTTATAGAAAAGGGTGGGGAATCCATCTGGGCCCGGACATTTACCCGTTTTCAAGGCCTTAATGGCTTGTTGGACTTCGATGGCAGAAATTTCCGACTCCATGAGGTCCCTACCGGCTTGTGGGATATCTGGAAGGGTAATCCGGGAGAGAAATTCCCGGATAGTATCGAGCGAGGATGCGGAAGGGGTTGAGTAAATCTTGGAGAGGTGATGGCGGACTTCTGAGAGAATTTTTGTTGGGTCACTGGTGCGGGGAGTCACATGATATTCATAGGGGGAACAATCCGTGTTTGGTCGTTATTCTCATCACCATTTTTTGAAAGAAAATCATTGGACGCGTTTCGCCCTTCCTCAGTATGCTTGACACATAAGTTGTGTGACCTACATACACGGCAGCTCCTCCAAGGATTTTCTTTCAAAAAAATGGTGATGAGAAGAACGACCAAACACGGATTGTTCCCCCTATGAATATCATCAAGGTTAGGCCTACTGTCCAACCAACCCACCTGAGTTCACCCATGAAAACCAAGACCCCTCCCCTAGCACCTCGATCACCCAAAACATGACCCAACATAACCCCCCTTTTCCCCACTCACCCCCAACATGACCCCATGAACACCAAAGCACATAAAAA